AAGAGGTGTGCAAAAGGGAATGATTCAAACTTGAAACATTTATTATAGAATCGAAAGGAAGAAGAACTAGGGGATGTCACAGATCCGAAGGAGAACCTCGGTGACTTCCCAGTCTGCTCTATGGTTTGGCTTCAGTTTCAAGGAAAAAATATTCAAATATTTTATTCTGATGTATACATGTTCTGTTGTTGAAGATGGTCATGTTGCTCACAATGCTAGCTCCAAGCTCCTTGTCGTGACGAGTTTAAGTTTTCTAGGGTGTCAGGTTATGATATCAAATCAGGCAGCCCTATGGTTGTAGTCCTTTAAACATTTTATGAGAGACATGTTGAGATTGTACAGTGTATGGAATAACAGTAGAATGTGTAGCACAGGATAACAGTAGATTATGCAGTGAAAAAAGAACAGTACAACATGCGGTGTAAAGAAAAGGTAAAAGGTACAGCAGAAAAGTGACTGCAAGAAAGTAACATGTTGTAAACACAAAACAAATATGTATACCTGGGAGATCTGATGTTCCTTAGGTGTAATTGATGCAACAGGCACAAACAACAAAAATTGAGGAAGCTGGTTGAAATGTTTTATATAAACGAAAGCAAAGAAATATCGTCCAAAAATCTTGAAAAAAATCTTCAAAAGACTCACGACAAGAAAAATGCGAGAAAATCGACAAATTGATGAAAATCATAGAAAACACGAGAAAATCCCAAAAAGAGACCACGAGTGTTTTGTCCAAAAATTCCAAGAAAACATATGAAGAAGTTTGAAAAGAGGGGACTGCCAGCACTTGGGTCGGGGCTAGACTCAACTATATGTTAACTCGAGGGGGCTAGGCTCAGATATATATTTGTACTCGAGGGTCGTTGAAGGCTACTCGGTCACCCGGATGTATAAAGTCCGCCACTCGACTAGAATTGTGTACTACTGAACCTAACATAGGAGGGTACTCCTTGACCCAAACAGGTAATCAACAGGTGGACAACCAATTTTTTTAAATGTATTTAAAATTTATATTTTTAGCATGCACATAGATTTCAAGCATAGAAAAGTGGGTTGTATCAATTTTGTTTGTAGCAAAAAAAATATTTTTTTTGTTTGAAAAATGTGTATCCATTCTTATTAAATTTGTTTTTATTAGTTTTGAAAAAGTGTAGTTGTCCACGAGTCGATCACACTGTCAGGCGTAGGACTACCAACTTAAGAAGGTACGAGTCAACTCCCGCGAGTCTTATGTCGGTGAATGATATTACATCCTACGGTTCACCGGGTCCGTGGGGGTGTCCCGATATTGTAGAATGAAATATCGTTCCGCTCTACCACCGGTGTGCCTTTGTCATCACCGCCCTAAACCCCAAAACAAAATCGACTTACTTGCGACCTTGCTTGATGGTTTCACGTATAGCAAAAGACAATACGTGGACACTTATGTATCAGACATAAGCATCAAAAACCGAACCAAAATGCAAGGAAAAAAAGAACAAAAATGAGGTGAGAGAGAGGAGGCACAGATGCACCTAAAACACCAAAAAGACGGAGGATGAATCAGTTCTCAAAACTCATAACGAAAAGACTTGAAAAAGTAGGGCCCAAGGTCCTTGAATCAATCCAAAAGAATGTCATTTTCTCGCTTTATTAAAATTGGATCAACCCAAGGAGGGTGTCCTTTCCAAATCTTATTTCGAATGAGTCGAAACGGGCCCGAACCGACACGAAGATCACTCACAAATGACCTCCCCTACATCGGTGTCAATCCTCCAAAAATATCTTCCATAAGCTCAATTTGACTCAACAGAATACTCTTCCAAATAGGACTTGGGAATTTTCCAAAATTCATAAATCGAACCAAAAGGAAAATGATCTGGGGGAAACCACCACTAGCATTTTCAAACCCATATCAAAATTAAAGTTTCCCAACTCCCAAATTAACCAATAACCTCATATATCAAATGAACATAGAACCTTCCAATAAAACCAAATAAATGCTCACTGTCAGGGTCAGTAGAAGAGAGGAGGCAGCCATTAAGGCTTTCGGTCAAGGCATCCCAAAGAACAAAAGAGGTTCACGGCCAAGGCAGCCCAAAGAACAAAAGAGGCTCACAGCCAAGGCAAGAAATAGGGCCAAAAGAGGCTCACGGCCAAGGCAACCCAAGGCACAAAAAGACTCACGACTAAGGTAAGAAACAGGACCAAAAGAGGCTCACGACCAAGACAACCCAAATCAATTAAATGAGGACCTTTGATATACATAAAAGAGTGCAAAACATAACCATCATGTTCAGATGACTAATTTAATCCACCAACAATCATCCAAGTAGTTCAAGTCCAACAAGAATGACCAAATTCAATTAAGGAGCCTTCAATATGTCTCACGAGTAGGGATAGGAAACAGCTCAGGACAGTCACCAAGCCTTTCTAGTAGGGACAAATAAAAAGCACAAACATAGACTCTCGGATAGGAACTAAAGCAGTAAAACCACACCCAAACTAACTCTCGGGTAGGGGCTAAGACAAGTAAAAATCAAACCCAAACTACCTCTCAGGCAGGGGCAGAACGAGACAAAACCGAGCTCCCAACCAGAGTAAAACCGAGCAGCAGCTAAGGCTCAAACTCAGGCCACAATAAAAGCTAAAACATCTTCATGCCCTCAAAATATCAAAATATAGGGCTACCACATGTTTCAAACAAGAATAGCTATGGAACTCTTCCAAATCAAAATAAATTTCTTCACAGTACGCGATTTTAAGCCAAAAATGATCATAAAATGCCAAAATCGAGCCCCTAACAGGGGTTAAAACAAATAAAACCGCACCCTCCTACAGCTCTTGAGCAGGGGCAAGAACAAACACCAAAAACAGGCTCTCGAATAGGAGCTAAGGCCAGCAAACCGAACCCCCAAACAAAGCCAAACCGAACCCTTCAAGGCCCCAAGTAAAGTTCGAGCAGTTAGGACAAAGCTTCAACAAAAACCAAAAGCCAAGTCTCAACAGAACCCAACCTCCAACCTTCCAAGGTGAGACCCGAGCTCCAGTAGAGACCAAACTCAAACTTTAAAGGCTAACAAATGAAACCATAATAGCAAATCTACACCCAACCACCTTATAATGAAACCGAGCACCAACAGAGGTCAAAACCGAGCCCCTCAAAATCAGCAGGGAGCCCCAAAGCCTCAACGAAAATCAGAAAAGACCAAACTTCAATAAAACTTGACTTCTCATACCCCTAAGGTGAATACCAAGCCATTCAAGGGTTAAAGGATACCCACATGCATTTAAAGCATCAAAATACAAGGCCACGATATGTTTCAAGCAAGAACAACTATAAAGACCTTCCAAATCAAGGTAAATTTCTTCATAGCATGCGTTTTGAGCAAAAAGAAACCGTGACAAATCAAAGCCAAGCCCTTCTCATGCATGAAAGGCCAAATAAATTCTCCAATATCTCATGCTAGGTAAGAATAAATGAGAGGCTTCATGATACATGTCCTAACATTCTTGCAAGAGGAACTAACATTATCTCAAAGCCGCATTTTAATATTTTCAATTTTTCTTGAACAAAAAGAAAAGAGAAGTGCTAATAACATGTTCTACTTTCACCACCTTAAGCAAGTAATCAAACATGACTCCTAGAACATGCTCACATTTTTATTTTTCACATGCTGAAGTGACAAATATTTCAAAATATAGGTGCAACACTAGGCTGGCATGCTGTACTATTCAACAGAACCATCCTCAATGGCTCAACAGAGAGAAAACCGAAAAAAGAGGCAAGACACAGGGGAAGAACGTACCTCCTTGAAGTAAAAAAAAAAAAGCAACACAGTAGCTTAAAAGGCACTTCCCAACTTTAACTCTTCCTCCAACAGTAAGAGGAAGCCAACCCGAGCACAAAAAGATAAAGAAATAAGTAAGAAAAGAAAATGACAGAGTTTTCCCTTTCTTAGAGATTTTCGGCCCTTTGAAACGCACCAAACGAAAGCCTCATATAGACCAGAAAAGGAGAAAGAATAATTAAGAGATCACATATAGCTCGAGAGAACAAGAGAGGCAGAGAATACGATCTGCGACAGAGAAGATCGAACTCAGGTCTGCGAGACTTGTCTCGCGTTTGAGAGGCGAACGCGGAAACGAATCCCTCCAACGGCACGAAGGAGCAGGTCAGGCAACCGAACGAGCCAATTTAGGGCTGAGGCAGACCTACGGGTTCGAGAGAATGAGGCGGGGAGGAAGGAGATAGAATTAGGTTACAAATAATAATAATATTATTATTATTATTCGGGCGCGTTGGCGCAGTCCATTTCGTCAGCCGGAGTTGTTTAGGCAACCTCATCGACGATCGGGATAAAAACGCGTCGCGACCCAGACCACGTCAAAAACTCGGCTCGAGCTCAATCAAATAGGACGACAAAGAGCACGACGGCGTCAGATCAACGCGTACAGTCAATCCTAAGGCCAACAGTTCTATAGGGATTCTCCTTGAGTTTCCTCACAGTAGCCCCACCTACTAGGTGCTAGAGGTTAAAACTATTATGCGGAACTTCAAGTCGAGCGAAGGAAAGCTCGAAATTTCTAACGGGGAGGGCTCCTTTGCTAGTTTTCTAGGAGTAGTCGACAGGAAAGTCCTACGGCTAGATCCTAGGCTATTTAAAGAGGAGAGACTAAACCTCAACCAAAAGTGAGGTCAACAACTAGATAGATTACAAATGAAATGATTTACAGCAAGATATTACCATTAATTAGAAGCAAGATTTTACATTTTCAACCCACTTTCAGAGTGTTCTAAAATAAACTTATATAGGAATCCTAAAAATTTCATTTTCAATAATTTGCCGAGGCAAGCCATACGGAATTGCCATTTGCTAGTATGATGAGTATTGTACAACATTTTCATGGTGTTGCTAAAAGACTCGCAACAGCATAAGTTTTATCCAAACAGAATAATGTATGATGGTAATAAGCACAAGCATAAAAAGAAACACATTCAAAGGGAAACCGAAACTTACCCATTCTGTCCTCCATGCCCACCTTTTGGTAATAGCCTCAACTTTGCAAAAGGTAAATCTAGATCATCGTACATCTAGAACAGAATCACATATTAGATAAATCCAGCCACAATTTCTTAGACTACTGGATGAAAAAAGGAAAATCAAGATAATATTGCAAATACCAGGAGTACTTGATTCAGTGGAATTTTGAAATATGAAACAAGTAATCCAACCTTCATAAATAATTCCAACAAAACATTATATTTTAAGATAAGGCATATAATGACATTAAAAAAGAAATGTTAGTAAGATATTAATACTTACAGACTCGCCACTTAAATTCATAAAAGTTTGTGGTTTAGCCAGTATGACAGGAACATCTCCAATGCAACCTGCAAATGAGAAAAAACAGCACACCTAAATACTTTCATTTTTTTAAATGGAAAATAGAAAATATGCTATAAAATATGAAAGACTATGCTTGGGAAAAAAAACTTTAAAACCACATAAGCCAGGCTTTTTACCTGCTCACTTTCTAATAATCTGAAAAGTTGCAATTATGATTTCTACAGGAAATATGAGATTGAAAGAGTTACGCTAGTGTACAATTCATTCATGACTTCATAACAAGTTGCATTACAATTTTAGAGTATCTCGTGCATGTCTATTTAAATAGCAGTTAATTTACTCTTACAAAATAGGGTAGCACGGCAACCACAGAAAATTAAGAAAATATTATCAAATGATCCTTACAATGGGTGTAAAATTCATACATGATCTTTCAAATGCAGGTTGAGACTGACAAGCAATACTATCCTAATACTCAACTCCAACTCTGAGAAGGATTGACGGGAAAAAAGTAAACAGAAAGTTCATGGTTTCAGCACCATGCAACAAACTGTGTAGGTAGGCACGGTGTGCAGTTTCAAGCATCCACATTTTATACAACTTTCCTCACTGACTTACCTCAGATTTAGTTTTCCTTGATATTTCCTGCACTAAACTTCGAAGCTCAAGTTATTCCAATTGAGAGGGTTATAGTATAAGTAACGGGATAATGAGAAAAGTCTACCCATTAAACTATAGGTGGGTGCTTTATAGGTGATTATCAAAGTTCATTCAGAATACAGCTACAACAAAACTTTATCCAAATAAGTGGGGTCGGCTACAAGAATCCTTTTTCTCCATTGCGTGCTATCGAGTGTCATATTTTCATTTAATTCTAATAAATTAAAAACATTTTTTATACAATAACCTTTCTTACCATAAGTTGAATCTAAAACATCTAGTCTCCTAATCTAATCATCATATGGTTGCAAAAGTGAGGAGGGACTAATGAGAAGCTCTACTTGAAAAAAAAAAAAGCAGCAGCAAATCTGATGGTGGCGACAATGCTGATCACTCCAATATTGAGAGATCCAAAGTAATCAGCACAAAACCATAGTAATAGCCTTAAATTTTCAAGAGCAGTAAGAAACAAACATAAAGAATGTGAATCTGATAATGATGGATGCGGAGAACGCAATAAAGGCAAGAAATAAAATGCAACAGTAAGGTGAGAGATATGCAGAGGAATTACAATAGAGATTGAGAGACGTGAGAGGGGTGATACCGTAGTTAAACACAACAACAATAGAGAAAGTAAATATTATTACTGAAATTAAATAGGAACTTACAACCAACCAACTGAAATAAGAAATAACAAAACATGACACAACACACGAGTAGAGTGAATCAAAGGTGTTGGTAGTGGTTGTTGGCGGTCCAGCGAGGTGGCGGCATGGTGGGCAAGTGGAGTGAGTGGGTGGATATGGCAATGGAACAGCAGATCTTTGCTTTCCTAGGCAATGGTAAGAAGGTCAAGGGCTCGACAACAAGGAAAACAATAGGTTGAGGGGGTCCAGGGTGATGGCAGTGAAGCGGAAGGGGCAGAAGAAGAAGACAAATGCAATAACTTTGCTGTCCTGGGGTGGCAACAAGGTGGACTCTGGTTTTGAAAGGTAGCAGCAAGGTGGAAGGGAGAAGTGCGGGGTTGGAAAGGTTGAAAGCAAACAAGAGCTGTCCAGGGTGGCCTGCAACGATGAAGGGGCGGTTAGGAGAGATGTGGGGATTATGGCGAGAGAAAAAAGTAAGATAATCACCACCTTGAGAGCGAGATACAGTCGGAGCAACACTCGATCCTCAGATACAATCCTAGAAAGGTACTAGGGACACCAACAACTTTCATGAACAGAAACACGGCAACAACTTTCATGAACAGAAACACGGCAACAACTGCAACCTAAACACAACAAAAGAACATGAATAGCACTAGGAAGATTAGGAGCGATGTTTTAAGTTAACTTTACTGTTAAGATGAAAATCATGTGTATTTTACAAGGAAAAAGCTCTTTATGATGCAGGAATAAGACTATATACATTAACCATGCTCCAAAATTGTTTAAATAACATAAATTATATCAAATCATTTCTAAAACTTATGCATATTTAGAAGTGCCACTTTATTTGCAAAAAAAAAATAAAAAAATAATATATATATATAAATATATATATAAAGTAATAAGAAACACATTAGCCATGATGATGCATGACAACTTAAAGTAGAGTTATATATATAAATATATATATAAAGTAATAAGAAACACATTAGCCATGATGATGCATGACAACTTAAAGTAGAGTTATATATATAAATATATATATAAAGTAATAAGAAACACATTAGCCATGATGATGCATGACAACTTAAAGTAGAGTTCAATAATGCAGGCTTGTGATGAGTTGTACAAAGAAATACACAAAATACCTTAATTCACAATTTCCTAACTTTTAATTTAAACAAATAATATATTCATTTGATGCAATACAAGAAAAAAAAATACTTGATTCATTCCAAACAGAATAGAAAAGTAGCCAAATTTCAAAATTCTGCAAGAAATCTAAGAATGAATGTAAAATTCAATGCCAATAAAAATTCACGTCACAACAATAAAAACTTCTATTTAAAAACCTGATCAGATATCTATCACACGAGCAAATAACGAATAAAAATAGAAAATTATGAGAAAATATCACCAAAGTCATATTCAAGATCTCATGTCCATACAAGAAGAAATATTTCACATAAATTATTAAAAAAATTGAAGAACTCACTCTAAAAGCACACGAGTAGGTATGTTCACCAAAATAAGATTAAAATTCACCTAAGAAACTAGACCATAAATTTCATAAATCTAGAAAATGAAAATTTCTAATAAAATTTTCATTTAATTTTGATATTTTTGAAGGAATTTTAGGAAATTCTAAATTTTACTTTTGATATATTCTATTTTTGTTATTTTATATTTTTAGTATTTTCTATTTTTAGTATTATCTATTGTTGGTAATTTTTATTTCCTCTTTCTAGCATGAGGATTTTGTGGCTGATTCAATAGCTTTCCTAATGTGGTGGCTTATAAGCTGGTGAACCAGAAGCGGCAACGCCAATAAGCTTCGGGTTTCCCCCCACTCACGACCGAAGTTTTAGTTTTTCCCACCTCGACCACATAAAGAAGCTCGTAAACTGGTGAAATTGAAGCGTTCGAAGACACAATCGTAACCTTTCGAAAATTTCGAAGATGCGATCGTAATCTTTCGAAGCATTCAAAGCTGCGATCGTAACCATTTGATGCGTTTGGACACAATTGAAGACGTGAATCACACTCGCGATTGAGCATTTAAAGACATGATCACAAGCCGCATAACTTGAAGCTTCCACAAACACGATCGTGATAACTTGTGCAAAGTGGGAGCTCACCGAAGTTCGCTCGTAACCTTTCACCCGTACCCGCTACTAATACTAGAAAAAGGCACCACATTTGATTCTTCTATATCGGGCTTTCTTCTATTATATGTTGCTCCACCTCACATAGATGCTCTCTTTTGAAGCCGGAAATTGTTTTTTGGCCCTCGGTTTCTTTCTAGACCTTTTTCGGCTTTCTCTAACGACTACATTTTCTTCTACTCCATCAAATTCTCGGCGGCGGTTTTTTCTTCTCTGCGAGTTTTTTTCTCAACCTTTGCCATCACCGAAATCGCGGATCAAGAGATAATGTTATCAGAGATACTGCGAGCAAAGATTGATTCTTCTCTACCAACTTCTCCTATATTGCACACTTGGGCACCCAATTAACTCGTGATCGAAATCAGCTCGTGGTTCTGTCCCATCCTCTTCTCTCCTCTAATGATGTCATACAAGTCAGTGATAACTGACACCCAAACAAATTATATTGTTTCTACTTATTCAAGTAATTCTAAAACCACTTCGCCCTACCTATAATGGCGTGAGCACTGCAAAAAATTATGGCATATAAAAAAGGCTTGTTGAAAGTTTCATGGTAAACCTACGAATTGAAAATTAAAATACAAATGAGACGATCTATCAAGCCGTGCTGAGGAAACTAAAGAGCCTTCTGCAAGCTTGGATGCAATCTCTTTCACCAAGGAGCAATTAGAGTACCTACATAAGTTGTTTCAATCTCCAAATTGTCACTTACTTTGTCTTGCTCTTCAGTACAAAAACATAACTCTTTAATCAATGCACTATCAGGTGTTAATTCTAATTTTGTTCATTCTTGGATAATTATTCTAGCACAACTGATCATATGGCTGGTTGTTAAAAATTATTGTCATCTTATACACCTTGTGCAAGAAATAAATATCAAAATTTTCGATGGTTCCCTCTTGGTTTACTAGAATCGTGGTTAACCCTTCACGATTGTTGCATATTCCCAATTTGTCATGTTATTATTGTCCATTAGTAAAATTACTTCTGATCATCAGAGTCAAGCTAATTTCTACTCTTCTTGATGAGAGTTTCAAGAATTAACTATTGAGAGGATGATTGGTACTGCTAGGAAAATGATGAACTCTATTATTATGAAGATGAAAATGATGTGAATAGACAATATCAAAGTATTTGCTTTAATTTTGGATTTGTTTCCAAATACAACGAAATTATGTTATGGCATCATAAGTTAGGTCGTCCTAATTTTCAGTATTTAAAATTCTTATTTTTCAGTTTAATTCAGAAAAAAAGACATTTTTTAATGTAAAGTTCGTCAGTTTGTCAAACATCAACATGCATCTTTTTCTCCTATTATAATATTTACTCTGATTCCTAATAATATATGGAGTTCATGTAAACAGCTTACACACTATGATAGAAAAATGATTTGTGATATTTACTGATGATCACACAAAGTTAAATTAGGTGTACTTGATGAATGAAAAAACATAAGTGAAAATAACCTTCAAAAGCTTCTACACCATGGTTCAAACACAAATTCAAAAAACTATTCAAATATTACCGAGTGATAATGACTGTCGAGCTAATTTTTCCGAAAAAGGTATA